TTTTTTGTTATTTTTTTATTTATAAACACAAAAGATTAAAAAAGGAGTTTTCATTCGATAATATAACTAAAAACAAAACTAAAATAAACAACAAATAGAACAATACAGATAATACAAAAATCATTCGTTAATAAGACTAAAACTAAAAAAAATAAGACTAAAATAAACAACAAATAGGACAATATAGATAATATGCTATTTATGCAAAAATCAGATAAGATTCTAAATAAACAAAAATTTTAATTAACTAAATAAATTTATTTTATGATTTAAAATTTTTGTCATTTTATTTTTTTCTTTTCGAACTAAAAATTTTTTCTCAAATTAAAAAACAAAAAATAAACAAAAAATATATACTCTTTTGTTATTTATAAACTATAAAAAAATGGATAAAAAGAAAAAAATACAAAAAATGCAGAAAAAAAAATAATAATATCTGTATTTGTTGTCATTTACCTTATTGAAACAACTTCTGATATTGTAACACTAACAAAAATTCATAATGGATGAATTTATAATCAAAATTAAAATAGAATACTAAATCAAAAAATACTATTTATAATTTACATCTAACTAGAGCAGACCTTACAGCAAAAAGTATTTATAATAACCAACCTATTATAAATGAATCCTTTATAATAACAAAATCATCATCCATCTGAATCTCTGAATCATTTTTAAAAAAAAATAATATTAAGTAAATACAATGTTTCAAACTTATGGATTATCACAAATCTTTTACACTATGATAATGGAAGAAGATAAATGGTTATATTTAAAAGAAATACAAAAAAAACACTGATAATAAAGATCTATTGCCAACTAATAGACTATTGCATGTATATTTTCGCTATTATAATAGATTAACAAATGTATGTAATAAATTTTGAAAAGATTTTGACATTGTATAATGAGGCAAATATCTTCATTATTTTGAAAGAGATGAATTTTAAAATAGAAGAACCATACATACACATGGATTTATTTATACTGAAAAAAAATACTAGAATTAATTTAAAAAAATATAATATATGCAAATATGCTAAATCAAAATACTGAATCAATACTTTATCAATTAGTTTCTATATACCAAATAGACAAATGTAATAAAGAAAAATGTGGAGGTTCAGGAACAGATACAAAACTATGTAAAAAAGAATTTCCTCAACTTTTATCAATTTATATATATTGTAAACCAAATTCTAAAAGATATATCTACAAGAGAACAAAAGAAATTGATTGTAGATAGTTTTTTATCATTCTGAAACATTACTAATATGATAAGAACATAAATTTTCAATATATAACTACAATCAGATTTGAAAAATATGTAATAAAATATGCAACTAAAGCTGAACCAACAGAAATTTTTGATACAAAAAAAATAAGATTCTTATAAAAAGCATATACAAGCAAGAAGATTAGGATCAATTGAACTTATGATACTACTATTACAATATCCAATAATAAGATCATTAGCGGCAGTACAATTTTTTTCATCTGCACCATTAGAATTAAGAATCTGATCAGTTAAACCAATATATATGCAAATTAACAATGATGATAAAGAAGATGAAGATGAACACAATAAACTATATTTTGATGATGTAATTGATAAATATTATGATAGACTAAGCAATGAAATATTCGAAAATATGGCCTACCCAGAATATTTTAAAAATTATAATATTACAACTAAACCACTATCAATTAATTCAAAACTATATACAACCTAAGACCTAAAAAACTGATATGTAACAAAAAGAAAAAAGCCATTGCTACTGAGATTTACAAATTACAAAGTTGATGATGGAGAACCTTTCTTCTTTCAACATCTAATAATGAAAATTCCTGTACGATCTCAAAGTGAACTACTTAGAAACTGCACAAGTTTCAGAGAAAGTTTTCAAAACGAATATCCTATAAGATACTAACAAACCTTAAATAAACTATAAAATAGTTCATTAATCACGAAAATTACACTTTCGGAAGCATAAAAGTAATTAGATTAGTTTTAGAAGAATTAGATAAAAGTGAACTTTGGGATATAATATATAATCAACTTATCTTATTAGAAAAATCATCCTTAATATCAACCTCAACCCTAACACTCAATGAAGAACAATATAAAACCTATAATATGCAACACTTGGGGTACCGACCGAACACGAAAACAAATATCCATATTTTTTTATGACTGGATCAGCAGGAACCAGAAAGTCATTCATGATACAACATATAACAAACATGTTAAAATCAAAAATTATTAAATACATATTATTAGCTTCAACTGGAGTATCTGCCCAAAACATAGGCGGCAAAACCATCCACTCTGCCCTCAAAATTAGACAATATAATGATCATTATCAAACACTAATATTAGATGACAAAAAATCTAAAATAGAGCTGCTAAAAATAAAAGCGATCATAATCGAAGAAATCTCTATGGTATCTGGTGAACTGTTGACTTTTATAAGCAACATATTCGGTTTAACACAAAAAAATCATAAATCATTTGGAAAAATTCCAATTCTTGCAGTAGGTGACCTCGCCCAACTACCTCCTATCAATGGACAACAAATATTTTACTCACCAATATGGAAACTATTTTTTCCTCTCTTCTTATCACAACCAAAATGACAAAAAAATGATCCAAACCACTACAAACTCCTACAAGAATTGAGATTGGGACAACTCTCCAAAAAATCAAAATCGATGATAAACCAAAAAATCTCTGAAACAACTAACATAAATGCAATGATAAATTCAATACATATCGTTAGCCTTCGCGAAACTGCCCAAGAAATCAACTCCTTCATCTGTGACAACCTACCAATAAGTAACAAAAACCCAGAATCATCATATCAAAACCTATAGATAACCTCAACAACCAAATAATCGATAACGAAAATGACCAAATATCATTTCAAAAATCATACCAACTTACTAACAATACAAGAAGGCGCGCGTATGATGTACTTAAATAATAAACTCTTTGAACATGGAATATGCAAAGGAAGCATCGGAGTAGTAACAAAAATCACAGATAACGATAATATAGAGATAACCTTTCCCATGACTGATAAGTTAACCAAAATCAACGTACAAAAATGACGTCATATTTCAACATCAATGGTATACCAGAATCACGACGCCAATTCCCAATTCAGAATGCATTTGCATTAACTGTACACAAAACACAAGGTCTCACACTACCTCACACCACCCTAACGATCGATGAAAATATGTTCTCAACCGGTCAAGTATACGTAGAGATGAGCAGAGCCCCCTCGTGGAACTGTATAAGAATAATATCCTTCGATTTTGACGCCCTTAAAACCGACAAGGAAGTTCTCGCAGAATACAGAAGGTTAAAGCACATAAACCAAAAAGGTCTAACGAAATTCCGAACCAACCACTAAATAAAAGACCCGATAATAAAAATAAAAATAAATCTGAACAACTGAGAGACCACGATATAACATTACCTCCGATAAAGGCTCCCCCGCGCGTATTCAGAGCAAAAAACGCTTGTTTGACGTTTTAAACTTTTTGTAGATCCTGCTTGACATTGATCGCGGCCCAAACATGCACGAAAGGATGCATAAACCATAGGTTGAATGGGATTCCCATCTTTAGACCATGCTAGAGTAGTGTTACGAAACATTTGGATCGTAGTCTCGTCAGAAAAAACCACTTTTTTCCAATAATAATGCAATGGTCACGGTCAAGACAAACGATTGTATTTCGCTTACTGGGTCAAGAGAGTATTTTCCAGGAAAGAACTGTTACATACCAAAATGGCGAAGTTCTCGTCGGATAGTTTTTCACACTGGCCTCCAGGATCGAATCCTTTTCTTCAAGTATGGCCTTCAATTCTCCAACAATAGTGAAATGATCATTTTTGATGATCATTCTGATGTGGCGGCGTTTTTGGGACGTCAATTTTCTTGGTCTGCCAGGTCGATGAATTTCAGGAATATTGCCATTTTTCACATAAAGGCAACATATGTATCTTTCACAAGAGCGCAAGGGAACTCCGGTTCAGGTGGAAATTTCCCTTGCACTACGCACGTCCTGTCCCAAAGGAACTTTACAACTTCGCGATTCGTCTTAATGGATGTGAGTTCGGTGAATAATAAAAAACGTTTTCGATTTTTTTTATTTATATAAACATTCCATTACCCAAGCCTAATAAACAACGGTCAAATTGGGATAATGGAGATGCTGCGATCTACACAAGAAACGATGTCACAACCGCCATTACTCTGTATATCAATTATGTACAGTATGTTAAACAATTATAATAGTTTTCGTTTTATATTATATATAATCTTAAATTTATTTGTTATTTTTTATTATATTCGTTACATTCGTTATATTAATTATTTTTTTTTTTTTTTATATTAGTATATTTATTTTAGAGAAAAGACGTCCGAAATCCTGAAATAATAAATTTCACCTTCTCATACTTTCAACCTTATCAGACTTGACTAATAACCAACTACACAGAGGATCGTATTAAAAAAATTAAGTAAATCTTATTTTTTTTTATGAAAACTTTTTATTTTAATTTTAAATTTATTTTGATTTTTTTTTAATATTATACCCTCCGTTATTTTTGATTTTTCTTTTATAATCGCAGGTTCTCTCTAATATTTAATTTGCATATATACAATATAATCCCTTATTTAATTATTTTATTTTATTTTCGGATGTACAATTTCAGAATTTGCATTTTAAGAATAAACAACATTATTTATTTTAAATTGCGGTTTTATAAGAATTATATAGCGTAGTCATATAAACAATTTCAATTCGTACTACTATTAGCATTGGTGTTCATTTTACTGCGCCATTAAGAAACCCCTCACAATTGTACGACCCTCGGTAAATTAAACGCATATTTTTATGCCGCTCAAAACTTGTTATTTGTTACTTACTGAACATATGGTATTCTGCACTTTGATATTAAAATCTCTCTTCTAAAATATTAAAACATGACAGCTGAAAAACAACTAGATGAATCCAACGTTTACCTTGATTGGTTAGAAAAGGCAATATCAGAAAACTATATTAAATATTATAATTACGATAAATTTGCTAATAGGGAAGAAATCAGCGGCTGTTCTTATGGAAACGTTTCTCGTGCAAACTGGGGAGATTCCAGTACTATCATGGCCATAAAGTATTCAGATAACTTAACCATTAAAGAAATCGTTAATGAGGTAACAACAAATTATTATTTTTACCATTAACAAAATATGTCTAATTATTTTTAAAATACTTAGATAAAAATGCAACGCGAAGTTGATTATCATGCAAATGTTATCCAGTTTTATGGAATATCCCGATTTGAAACGAATTCCATCGATCAAAATAGCAAGTACATGTTGGTTATGGAATACGCTAATGGCGGAACATTGCAATCTTATTTAAAAGAAAATTTTGACAAACTAGAATGGAGTGATAAATATCGATTAGCCTTTCAACTTACATCTGCTGTAGCATGTTTGCATAACGAAGGAATTATTCATTGTGATTTGGTAATGTAACAATTCATTAGATAATTTTGTTTGGATTTTTCATGGTAACTAAAAATAATAATTATTTTATATAGCATGCACAAAATGTACTTGTTCATCAAAATAATATAAAGTTAGCAGACTTTGGTTATCACGAACAGTGATTGATGCTTCAAGTTATTCAACAGATGTCCATGGTGTCGTTCCTTATGTTGATCCAAAATATTTGAATAATATTAAAAATAAAAATAAAAATCAGCATTATATATTAAATCCAAAGTCTGATGTTTACAGTGTTGGAGTTCTTCTTTGGCAAATTTCAAGTGGGCTGAGACCTTTTAATTGTGAAGAATACGATGTAAATTTAGTTATAAACATTAAAAAAGGCCGAAGAGAAATAACTGTCAAGGATACTCCTATCGAATATACTAACTTATATTAAAGGTAAATGCAAAGTTTTCGCGTAATCTATTTATTTTTTTAAATTATTAATAAACTAAGTTAATTTATTAATTTTTTATAAGCATGTTGGAAAAATGATCCAAACGATCGTCCTACTATGCAACAAGTTTGTAAGTCTTTTCAAACATTAATGATTGAAACAAAAGATGAAGAAGTTGATTCCATCATTCATTCAGAACATAAAGCTGAATCAAGCGACGAAATATATTTGCATAGTCATAATTCTGAGTTATTTCTAAGTAAATTAATGCAGGATTGTAATTTAGAATCAATATATAATGAATGCAATTCACAACATATTTTATATCAAGCAGAAAAGTTATTTTTGGAAATTTATGACATAGAAGATAGTATAAATATCTTTATTTGTAAGTTAATTAAGCTTTTAATTGAAACTCATGATGAAGGAAATAATTTCGATGAAACTGACCAATTTATTAATCATTGTATTTTTCTTTCAAATCGAACTTCAAATGAGATTTTTGAATGGCTTCACGAGAATCAAAAGAAATCAAAATATCAATTTTTCTTGGGATTTTTTGTATTTTGGTAGTATCAATTTAAAGACAAATTACAATAAAGCATTTAAATTATTTTTAAGTTCCTCCGAAGATAATTATCCAATTGCACAAGTTTATCTTGCAAATTGTTATAAAGAAGGATTTGGAATCGAGATAAATGAAGATCTCGCATTTAAATGGATGCAAAAGGCCGTAGGAAATGAAAGCATATATGGACAACTTAATCTTGGTATTTATTATGAAAACAGCATAGGAACGGATGAAAATTTATATAAAACATTTTATATGTATCAAAAAGCAGCTAATAATGGAAATTTATGTGGATTATTTAATATAGGTAAATGTTATGAATTAGGAATAGGTGTAGAAAAAAGTGAAAGTAAAGCATTTGAAATATATAAGAATTTTCATGAAAAAGACTTTATAAATGGAAAATATAAACTTGGAATTTGCTATTTTTATGGGATTGGAACAGATATAAATAAAAAAGAAGCAATTGAAATATGCAAAGAATTAGCTGAAAAGGGTTATGAAAAAGCACAAGCATTTCTTGCAATGTTATATTATAATGGTATAGGAACTAAAATGAATTTTGAGAAAGCATTTTATTGGTATCAAAAAGCAGCAGAATATAATAATATACTTGCAATGAATAACTTAGCTTTATGTTATTATAATGGAGAAGGAATAGAAAATAATATAGAAAAAGCATTTTATTGGTATCAAAAGCCAGCAGAAAATGGCGATATAGATGCGCAAAATATGCTCACAGTACTATATGAAAATGGTGAAGGAATAAAAAGAGATTTGGAAATGAGTTTTTATTGGTGTCAAAAAGCTGCAGATAATGGAGATAATGTCGGATTGCTTAACTTAGGTGAAGCTTATGAATTTGGAAAATGCGGAGTTGAAAAGGACGAATTTAAAGCTTTTGAGTTTTACAAAAAATCAGCGGAAAATGGATTTGAGGAAGCAAAATTTTGCCTCGGATATTGTTACGTAAATGGAATTGGTACAGAAATTAATAAAGAAATAGGATTCAGATTATATAACGAAGCTGCTAGAAAAAAAGACAGTAATTTGAAACCATTATATGAAGATTATGATAAAATAGGGAATGGATTAGAAAAAGTTAATTATTGGTATCATAAGGCTGCGAAAGACGACAATAAAGTAACATTATATAAATTAGGCGAATTTTACGAATTAGGAAAAGGTGTTGGTGAGAATTTATTTAGAGCATTTGAATTTTATAAGAAATCCGCTGATAAAGGATGCATCGAAGCTCAATATAAAGTAGGATATTATTATGATAATGGAATTGTAATTGACGTTGATAAAGAAAAGGCTTTTGAATTATATAAAATAGCAGCTTATGAAGGTAATTGTGATGCACAAAAAGTCTTGCAATTTATATGAACAGGGCACTGGAACAAATAAAAATATAGTCAATTCTATTTATTGGTATTAGAAAGCCGCGGAAAATGGATGTCAATATGCCAATGAACGCTTACTATTATAATATTTAATTTCTAGTTTTAAAAGTTTATTTTATGGATGAACCATTAATAATTTGTATATTCCAAATAATGTAGTTTCGTAATTATATCGACAATAAATTGATTAATAATGATGTGACGAAAATATTAAATGTTTAACCAAACGTCTAAGATAGGTCAAGGTTTTGTGAATGATTTACTTATCATTATAATTATTAATTTTGATAAAACCAATTGTTTCTCTTGCTGGTCGAATATCTAGAAGTTATTTATTATTTGCTGATTCAAATTTGACTTTCAAACTCGAAGTATTTTAAAATCCACAATATCTCTATTGAGTTGGATTAATAAAATGGTAAATCAATACATCTCTGATATTCAGGAATTATATCAAATAGTTAATATACTCTATACAAGCCCGAAAGCTTACTCCTAACTTTATATGGCCGTAAAACCTATTGAAATCAAACGCTACAAGGATATTCCTAATTACCTAATAATGACGGCTCATCTATAATTTAAATAATACAAATAACCTTACAATTTTTGCAATTAACCTTAAGCACCGGAAATATAGAAGAATTTATTTTCTGAGTGCAAAAACTACAATCTCAGCTAATATACAACCCTAGAAAAGCAAAGTTGGTTTTTGATTTTAAGAGGTCTCAGTGATTATAAATTAACTTATCTCCCCTACGAGATTAGGAGATAATAGGTAGGGTTGGATCGGTCCGGTCCGGTCAAAAGACCGGTCTTTCACCTTTGTTTGGACCGGACAGGTCTTATACCATTCGGTCCCCTACCAGTCCGGTCCGGCCCAAGATTTGTTTTCTCTCGAAACAAACCGATTTATAAGGCTGGTTCAATGATCGGTTTAGAACATCATACTAGAATTGTAAATAAAAAAGTATAATAAAATAATTGCATACGAAACGATTCCTGCGCCTTCTTAATCTCGTTATTTTTCATTTCCGATATTTCCATTTCGGACATTATCGTTATAATTAAATATTAGGACAGATCCAAGGACTGACTTATGGACCGGACCGTTCCATAAGAGATGAAAACCGGTTCGATCCAACTTTAATTTTGTAGTATTTAATAAATAAAACAACTTATTTTAAATAATATGTTATAATAATAAAGGACCGGTCCGGACCGGTCCTCAGAATATGGACCGAGGACCGCAAGGACCGGTCCCATTAACCGGTCTAAGATCGGTCTTATCAGGACCGATCCATCCCTAATAATAGGCCTGTTCAATTCTGATCGTTCGGATTTTTGATCGGGTTTTGAGTTGATAATTATTGACTGGCGAAATTATGTAACTCGATCAGCAATCCGATTTATCCGAACAAAAGGTGGAATTTTTTTGATCACATAACTAAAACAAATGGTTGATGAAATTTTTGCGATCAGAAATCCCAACTCAATTCTGATTTTTGATCACATGTTTGGATTGGTTAACGATCAAAACCCGAACGATCAGAAATGAACAGGCCTAATACTAGGCAGCATAATAATTTTCGGATTATCTTAAGAATCTTCCATTGTAATTTGATTAAAACTTAAGAACGTTTACTATGGTACTGATGTAGTCAAAATGAGAAAATATATCATTTTGGATATTCCAAATCGGAATGATACCATACCACTTCCAGCAACAATAGTTAGCAATGTTTTTTATAGTACAGTCCCTGTAAATGCATTCCCCTTGGGACTTGTATTTAAAGAGAGTGTGCATTATAATATATATATAAATCTATATAATATTAATCTAAAATTAAGGTAATACATAAAATTTATAAGTAAACATAAAATTTTAAGTTAAATAAAATAAAATAATTTAACTAAATTTAGGTTAAAATAATATTTTCGAAAACAAAATTTCAATGTAAGCAAAACAACAATAAGTATAAAGCTATAAGTACGTCGCAATCAATGTATAACAGATAAATCTTATTGAGTCAACTAAACTAACCAAAATTGAATCATTGGTTAGTTCAATTAGCGCAGAAGTAGAATATGGGACCTTTGCAATAGAAAAGGAGAAAACGGCTGGAAAAAATAAAAATGAGTTAATACTAAACCTGAATAAGATTTAACGACATATAAAAGTAAAATTGAATTTTCATCAGTTTCCCCTTTTTCTATTGCAAAGGTCCCAAAACAATTGTGAAATTATGATGTCGGAATTATATTTACGACAGTGTTACAATTAATATAATTAATATGTAATTCCGGCCGAAATCTCCATAATTCCGCATGAAAATCGCTTTTGATATTTACAATTAGTCCTTTGATGATCATTTGCCAGGTTTCCAGGTTGACAAGGTGCCAGTACGACAAAATGTTCAAGACGCCAGGCTGACCTAATTAATATATATTATATATACGAGCTGGAAATCCTTAAACAGCTCAATATCGCTCGCCCTTGTTATATTTCTTTGATTACATTCCCTTCGAAATCCTTTTACACCACGATATTTTCGCTTTCGCCGTTTTAACTTTTTAATTTCGCATATGTAACTTCGTTTATTATTTTTTTTTTATTATTCAATGTTTATGTAATTATTTTGTATTTGCGCAGTTTTAATTAAATAGAATTAAGTACTTGGCATTTACATAGTTTAAAATATTGATCAAGCGAAAGTGTAGAGCGCTGTGTTGAGGAAACACTAATTAATTAATAAATATTTTATCATTATTACAGAGGGTGGACAAAAGTATCCGCACACCCTCCATAAAACGTGAATTAATGCTAGTAAAATCATATGACTGCAAT